ATCTGAAAAGAAAGAGGCATGGTAAAGACTGGCTCCCCAGCCCAGCACGTGGCCACCAGCACACAACTAGGTGAGCTGCAAGCCATGCTGAGAGATGACTTCCGTGTTGTCCTGAGAAATATATAGACATTTCCGTATATTTATTTAGGGTGGAAGTAGAAAGAGCAATCGCCCTTGGGCTGAGGGATTTTCAAATAGCATTTCAAAAGAGGAAGCTGGGATTCCGTTAACAGTTGCTGTACCACTGCCTAGAAATGGTGGTTTCTCCAGATAAGGATGGGACACTAGGCGTGGCTGGGCATGGCTGGGCAGGTCTACCGATTTCTACCCAGTTGGCTGCTCTCAGCTGGCTCCTCCATTTACAGTAGGTGGTGTTTAGACTCTTGTGTCAGCCTTGCTAAGGTATGGCGTTACTGAGTGACTTTTCCCGGGGAGCTGTGACAACAGACCAAAGGAACTAACCCAGCCAAGTCTACTTTCATGAGCCAAGGAATTTGAGGGGTTCCTTCAGAGAGTGTAGGGGACTCAGCAGCTGCGTCTCTGGAGTTCTCTGTAAAACCTATGGGCATCTTCACCCGAGAGTCTCCTCTGGCTGAGAAAATGTTTTGAAGCTCTCATTGGCATCAGCAGGCAGTTGATTCTCAGTAAAGGGTGCCGAGGGCTGTGGGAGTATACAGCAGGTGACAACTTGTTTGATGAGTCGACCCACCAGACGTATAACTGGGGAGCACCACCTGGCAAAGCCGTGGGGTCACTGGCTGTGGAAACCTGTTGTTTGCTGTCTGTAACTTTCTCAGGTGCCACTGCTATGCCTCCCTGGTAAGAGCAGCTGCGGGGTTCCTTCCAGAGCCCTGTGGTAGTGTGTTTTACATCTCTGGGCACACATTTAGCTGTGGATTTCTGTTTAAGCTGTATAATTCTGATGAGCAGAGATATTACCAGAATATTCTTCTTTACTGACAGAGGAAAGTAACAGTATTCTTAGTCTCAAAGACAACCTTTTACACATTTTGCAAAGACCTCAGAACTATTCCAAAACAGACTAAGCTGCCCCTACAGAATATATGCAAAGACTAATTCCCAGGTGTTGTTTATTGCTAAATCAAGGCCAGGCTGTTTGCATCAAGACACAGTCCTTGCAGTAGCTCCCTTCTGTACCTACCCTGACTGCTCAAGGTTCAGCCCCTCACCAACTTAGAGCTACGTGCATGGGTCAATGTGACATTACTAGCCTAAGAGAAACTACGTGACTTATCTTGCGTGTTGAGAATGGGTAGGGCCCTGAAAATGTGATTTATGATTGTCCAGTGTTTGGCTGTGGAGCAGCAGTGGTGGTGTGGAGAGAGAGGCTGTGTAGAGCTATGTGAGAGCTGCTGCAGAATGTGAGGGGTGTGTGTGTGTGTGTGTGTGTGTGTGTGTGTATGTGTGTGTGTGTGCTGAGTGAGAGATGAAGAAGAAGGAGCATTAGAGAAGTGTGAGGGAGCAAGTGGATGAAAGAGTGGATGAGTCAAGAGTGAGTGAATAATGTAGGAGAAGTACGTGTGTGTGTGTGTGTGTGTGTGTGTATGTGTGTGTGTGTGTGTGTGTGTGTGTGTGTGTGAGTGAGTGTGCTGAGTGAGAGATGAAGAAGAAGGAGCATTAGAGAAGTGTGAAGGGGCAAGTGGATGAAAGAGTGGATGAGTCAAGAGTGAGTGAATCATGTAGGAGAAGTACGTGTGTGTGTGTGTGTATGTGTGTGTGTGTGTGTGTGAGAGAGAGAGGGGGGAGGGACTGGATGGAAGAGCTGCTGCTGCTGCTGTGTAGAGGAGCTGTGCCTAGGAACTGTGGAAAGTGCTGTATGGTGAGAGCGCTGTGTAAATGAGATGCTTAGCTGTGGCTGTGTGGAGATTTCTAACTGTGTGGAGACAAGGAAGATGAAACTGTACAGAAAAAAATGTGTAGAAGTGAAATGTATGTAAAAGACAGATGTGTAGCCATGTGAAAAATGTATGTCTGTAAAGATATGTAGGTGTGTGCAGTAGTGTGGCGATATGTAGCAGTTTCCTTATTTCACCAGTCATAGATAGATTGAAATTTCTTCCTAATTACCCTCAGATAAAAAAAATTTCCTATCCCGTGTACTCTGAGGCATTCCTTTTATTACCCTGAGCGGATCGTGGGAGCTGGTCTCTCACAGTCTGTGTTAAAAGGGAATTTTCCTCTAGTAGCTGGTGGCCTTTTCCAATCAGTGGAAGGTCCCCCAGAGAAGAAGTTCTAGGGACCATGTCCAGCGCTGCCGCTGCCTCCTTTCTCTAGACGCGCAGGTGTCTGAATGCCAGGCTTGCCTCCTCAGCCCCTTCAATAGCGTGAGCCAGGTTCTTACATGAACCCCAGGTAAAAATGTCGATGTGGGCATGGGTGTAGACAGATCAGTCTGTGTCTGACTGGGTGGCCAGCTACTGTCGAGGCCCAGGCTGCCTGGGATGGTCTCGAGTACTGTGACTCAGACTTCCCTCCACGTGCTCATGCGGGCAAACTCCTGTCTGTTCCTTAGTGCTGGGGGAGACCAAGGGAGGAAACAGGGCTCAGGAGGCTGTTGAAACACCACCCAGGAGCTAGTTCAACCTCCGCCCAGCCTCATGCTGTTGACTGAGGACTGAGTCACAGAACTGACAGTGGGTCAGGGGTGGGGATGATGTTCACCTTGTTTAGGGCACCACAAGGCTCTTTGGGGAGGGATGAGAATGTGGCTGGCCCTCCTGTGTCATGAAGTACTTGGTACTTCCAAAGCACAGATACCAGAACTTTTAAAAGCCAGATGTGATAGTACATGGCTCTAAGTCCACAACTCAGGGGGCAAGGCAGGAGGCTCATGGGTGTGAGGCCAGCTCAGGCTGTGGAATGAGTTCCCAGCCAGCCTCAGCTATACAGAAAGATCCTATCTAAAAATACAAGAGTTGGGTAGCTTAGTGCTAGAATACTTGCCTAGCATGTTCAAGTGTCTGGTTTTGATCAACACACACACACACTCACACACACACACACTCACACACACTCACACTCTTACACACACACTCACACTCACACACACTCTCACACTCTCTCTCTCTTTCTCTCTCTCTCTCACACACACACACTCACACTCACACACACACACACTCTCTCTCTCTCTCTCTCACACACACACACACACACACACACTCCACCTCCCAAGTAGTTCAGATTAGAGAATGGTTTGCCCCCGTGTGTGACTCTTTTTCTCATTCATCAAAAATATTCCAAAAGTTTAAACATCCTCTTGGCCAGTCTAGAAAATACCTCTTCTTGTTGTTTCTCCTCAGTACAGGCTGGTTGAAAGGAGCTAACCTGAAATTAACCCTCAGAATGAGCCTTATTAGGAGAGAGCCTCATGACTGTGGACCACCATGATCAGGCCTTGAAGGGGGGAGTACTGGAAGAGGTGGCCACTGTGTACACTGTGACAGGGGCCCTTCCTTCAGTTCAGAGAAAAAAGGAGACTTCTGACTCACAGGTGTTCGGGGTGGGGGGTGATGTGTGCTCCACACCTCCTGACTTAGTGTGGTTTAGGATATATGCCAAAGGGAAGGTCCTAAGTGGGACCATAAACTTGTCCTGCAGCTATATGGGGAGGGCAGCATGCTTGCTAATCAACTCTGCCCCAGAGAGCTGCATGCTGTGGGATGGTCTTTCTGTACGCTGTGAGTATGTGTTGCTAACACTGGTTAATAAAGAAGCTGCTCTGGCCTATGGCAAGACAGGTTAGAGCCAGGCAGGAAGTCCAAGCAAAGAGACAAAGAGAAGAGCAGAGAGAGGGCAGAAGCCAGCCCATCGCCCAGGGAGCAACATGCCAGCAGACCAGTAACGCCATGACCACGTGGCAATACATAGATGAATGGAAATGGGTTGATTTAAGATGAAAGAGCTAGCTAGCAAGAAGTCTGAGCCATAGACCAAACAGTTTGTGATTAATAGTGAGCCTCTGACTGGTTATTTGGGTGCCAGCAGGCAGGAAAAATTTATCCAGCTACAGCTGCTAGCGGGGATAGCCTGATTTCTGGGGAGGGACGGAAGGAGAGAGGGAAGGAGGGGAGGAAGGGAAGGAGGGAGACCCAGAGAGGCGGGGCTAGAAGTTCTGTGATCTAACACTTCGGCCTACCCCTCCATCCCGTCCATCTCCAAATGCAACCTGGATGTTTCCTCCTTGGCTCTCTGCTCCACGGTCACTCTGTGTCACTCTCTACCCAACCTTACCCTCAGACGCTCGGGGAACCGAAAGTAAACATTAAAGTAGAGGAATAATTAAAGTGGGGAAGCTGGTGTGTGGTAGCAGCTAGATGATAGCTGATTTTGGAGCGGTCCTTGGGAAGCTGTGATGATGGTGATAATAGAGAGGGGATCAGCACTACAAAGCCTTAGGTTTACTCAAAGGAGCTTGGGGAGGGTTGTCAGAGGCCTGGGCCTTCCCTGTGTGCATGTGTGGAGGCCAGAGATCAACATCTAATATCCTCCTCCATAGCTCTCCACGTTGCTTATTTGAGACAGGATCTCTAACTGAATCTGGAAGTTACCAGTTGGCCCGCGAGCTCCAGGACTCCTCCTGTCCCGCCCACCCCCCCATGCCTTCCTAACTAGCATTAAGATTACAGGCACTTGTGGCCTCTCCTGGCTCTTTATGTGGGTGGTAAGTTTCGAACTCAGATCATCTTATGCCGCAAGCACTTAACCACCTCAGCTGTCTCCTCAAACCCTAACCTTCACTCTAAGAGAGAGAAAATCAAAGTGGAAGCATTGGCAGATGGAGAGACTGCTCAGCAGCTGAGAGCACTCGGTGCTCTTGAAGAGGACCCGAGTCCTGTTCCCAGCACCCATGTCAGGCACCTCACAACCGCCTGGAACTCCAGCTCCAGGGATCTGATGTCCTCTGCTGGCTTCTGCCTGCACCCACCCACTCATGGCATACATTCAGACACACACACACACAAATAAAAACAATGGAAGCCTTTAGAAAGAATCCACGATTTTGCCTTTCCTTAGCCCACCAGCTTCCCAGGGCCCTTCTTCACAGCAGGGCTGCATCCAGTGTGTGAGAAAAGTGATCCGGGTTCATTTGGCATCTTCTTGAAGGCAGGCAGGTTGACAAAAACACACAGCTATGAAATCAGGAACCTATAGACAACAGAGAAAATGTTTTCCTTATAATTACTGATTAGGAACACCAGCATTTCAGTTTATAAATTAAAAAAAGAAATGTGCTACTTGTGGAGAGGGAGGTCTGAAACCCCTGAAAGCCACTCGTATGGAGAACCTGCAGTTTGGGGCAGTAGGGGAAGGGTTAGTCAGCCACATACTGCATTTCTTTCCATCTCTGTTTATCAGTTATACAAGTACTCTCCAATCGTGCACACTTCAGTGACAAAGGAGACACGCTGCAGACGGCATTCTTGAGTGTAACTCATTGCACACCACTTCTACACATCTTGAGTGTAACTCATTATACACCACTTCTACACATCTTGAGTGTAACTCATTGCACA